TGAGCTACTGTAGTCCCAGCTAGACAAGGCAGGGATTATTCATAGTGGCAAGCAAGCTCAAAGTCTCTCCCAGTTGGGAACTGAAGCTCTAACAAGTAGAGAGCAAAAACCTGTCTTTACATATGTCACTATTTCCTATAAGTATTAATAAAATGAAGCCTTTAAAGAGAGCCACAGTATGAAAACAGATGTATCACAGACAAGAAATCTCTCAGCTGGGCTCCTGTATCCTGTAGCCAAAAAAATGGGATAGGGGATACTGTGAATATTTAGGGAAAATTGTCTCAGCATAAGGGAATCATGCACCTCCATCATCCAGAGGGCATTAAAAAGCTAAGTAATAGATGCATTTTGGCTTGAAAATGGGGGCCTGCTGGAGCCTTTCCTGTCAGCTGCTGGCTGCTTGTTACCTTAAGCAAATGAAAATCACACTCAGAAAGACAGAGTTTGTGATGAAGCCATCAGTAGGGCAGGTGGATTGCAGGCCAGAGCTACAAACCACAGACTTATCTCATGGGGATGGCAGGAAAAGGTCAGCAGGGATGTCAGGATCCAAGAAGAAGCACATTTTCCCCCACGTCATGGACTGGCCCTCCCTTCACATCCATGGGCACAGGGTTTCTGTAACCACCAGAGTTATCAGGGTGCTGACTTTACCCAGCTGCTGCTCTCCCAGGGGAGACAAGTCACTTTGAGGAAAAGCAGAGTTTGCAAACTCTTTGCAGGTGGATAAAGGGTCCCTGAGGGATCCCCCAGCACGTGGGTGTGAGTGGCACTGCTGTCCATTGCTGGCTCAGCTGGCTGTCTGGACTATAGGTGGTGAAGATTTGTTGTAGGTGTAATCCTGTCCTGCTGAGAAAATTTCAGGTCAAGATATCTTTCCTGATCTCCAGTGTAGGAGGATTAAAAAAGCAATGGGGAGGGAGAATAGGAGATAATACCTGTGCTTTTTACTGGAATAGCAATTTGCCAGTTCTTAAAACATATATTGGGCATCAGCATCAGTCAGCTCAAGGCTAGCAAAAAGTTCTAATTAAAGAAACTAATAGGAAATCCCAGGGTGAAAGAGCAACAGGAGGTATGATGTCACCTTTTTAATTAGCAGAGTTCTTCCAATACCTCTTCTGAGAAATAGGGAACACCACAAGCCTTGTGGGAGAAGCCTGTACTACTCATTAAATCCCTTTCATCTAAACCCAGTCACAGGTGTACCAAGTTAGCTGTGACTGCTGGAAAATCTGCATTATAACATGAAAATCTGGATTGTTTGTTGCTGTCTTGACAACTGAGATGGTAACAATATTTGATCCACTGCTGTGTAACACTGCAGTAAATAAAACAATCCCCCATTAGTTCAGAGGTAAGATGAGAGCACAGCAGCAAAGAGTGACTGAAAATAAAAGCTGAGAGCATTAGCAAAAGTCACGTGTTCTGTGGGTTTCCCAAAGAGGCACAGTGATGTGGAGTGTACCAGTGTGGCACTTTGGGAACTGTTAGGGTTGCTCTGTATAAAGTTCTGGTGGCACCTCTGCTGAAATATTCTGTGCTATCCCAGCATTACACATTCAGAAATTACTGACTCAAGGGGAGAAGGGGAGTTTGTGAGACCACAGGAGAGCAAAGAAATTCCCTTGAGGGAGAAGCTTGGAAGAGTTCAACTTAGAGCTCTAGGTCCTTGGCCACCACCCAAGGGGCACTAGTGAGCCACCCACTTGCTTTCAGGTGCTTCAGATCCTTACAAATCCATCCTACATTGCGTTGCCTCCCTACGCTCTGTCTCAGGCACTTTGCAAACGACTTGCCAAGTTTGAAACCCACATCAGCCTGGAGCCAGAATCACCAGGCACAGCACGAGCTGCTTTGCCCAGGCAAGAAGAGGCCCCGGCTGGCCTGGCTCCAGCAGCTTTCTGTGCACTCCATGAACACACAGAAAGCTTTCCCTGCCAGGTGTGTGCACAGCCCACAAGCAGTGGCTGTGTCTGGCACATCCCTGCCCTGCTGCTGCCTGTTGGCTTCTTGTGACAGATGTGCAGGACACAAAGGCCAGCCCAGAGCATCGTCCTGGCAGTGGCTCAGCCTCGATAACATCTAAGGCTGAAAAGCACAGGAATGATGAGACAGGCAGATGTGCTGAGGCTTTTCCTTAACGCTTCCCCATTCCTCAAGTGCTCCTGGCTCAGGCACATCCCAGTCCTGCTGTCTTTGTCCTGTGTGGGATCAGGAGTCTGCACCTGGTTTTGCTCTCATGGATTTGTCTGGCAAATATTTGAATGAATGGAAATCTTCAGTAGCCACTCAATTAGTGGTGATGAGCTGTGCAGATTAATTACAGGTGGTTTGAGGGGAATACGTGACACTAAATGGTCTCCAAAGGATAGTTCTTCTCACAGGGGAGGCACTCTTCGGGCCATGAACGTTCTCTCTATTTTCTGCCATACATGAACCGTAACCTTTCCAGATTTATGATGTGGACATCTGCACTGTCTTGGCCTGAACAATTCTGTCAGCAATCCATCCCTAAGGATCCCAGACCAGTTATTTTTATGGATGGTAGTATCATTGCTCCTTGGGGTTGGGTTTCAGAAACAGGGAGATTGTTTTTCACTGACATCTTAAAATTTGAGGGGGAGATTAGAATTCTCCAGGGAGTAAGTGTGGCATTTGTCTCTGTCAGCTGCACAGAGTATATAATCTGTTCCTATAAATAGAACACCAAGATTTATACAATTCAGGACACAATAAATTATGCTAAAATGTAGGGGTCTTCCTAATTCAGGAAACTGAAAAGTAAATTAATGGAAAAATGAAAGTACACTCACATTTGCCTGCACACTTTTCATGTTACTCTCATATTTTCTTTTTGTGTCAGTCCTGCAGTGATTGTGCAGAGCTTGAACTCTTCTTGAGAAGAAATTTCTGCATGAAAGCACAGAAAGGGTGAAAAACCTTTGTAGACTTTTGTACTGAAAAAATTCCTGGAAAACAGATCTTTACAATTATGATTTTCCATGTAGGTAGGGAGGACACCTTTTCTTTTTTGGCAGGAGGAAAGAGGTGATAGAAATATTCCCCTTGTCTGGTTTCCATAGAATTCACCTGGACATCTCCTGTGTGGCATCAGGGCTCCTTAGGGATTGTGTTAGACACATCACAGGTACCCTAAGAAATGTCTGCATGAGCTTCTCTGTGCTATCCCCCAACTGCCCCCACCCCCATCTTCAGTAACAAAATATGTAGTAGGCACTAATGCAGCAAAGTTGTCAGGGAATTTCCTGAATTTCCAGATGTTCTGGGAGTTAGGGTTAGTGAGTGGGGGTGCTGTCATCCTCTTCTGCTGTCATCCCAGACCCACTGAACAGGGAGGAGTGGGAGAGCCTGGAACCTGCCTACCACAGTCAGCATGGTTCAGTCAGCCCTGGGTCAGAACAGCATCACCATCTCCTGAGGGACAGGGATAGAAGGAAGGGAAAACTGGGACAGAGAGGAGCCTTAGAAGTCAGTGCAGTGTAGCTGAAGTAACTCACCCTCTCCAAACTATGAAAGAATCACTGACCGTGTGTCAATATGACAGTTTTCTCCCTCATAAAAAAAATTCTGGCATGACAGAGCAAGCACCTGGTGTGGGTCTCCTCAAAGCTCTAGGGAACAGGGCTGTTGATGATGTCTTGCATTTAGCTCAGAGGAAGGTGCTGGGCTTCATTGCAGTTCTTGCCAGAGCAGCAGCTCCCTCATGTCCTGAGCTGAGATGTCCATGTGGCAGTCCTGGCAAAAGACTTGTTAACATGCTCAGGAAACAATCCACACATGCAATGGCTTCTTGGATTGTTTGGGAAGAGCCCATGGCATGGCATCCAGTAGACAGTGGATTATCTGCATAACAAGGAAGTTTGGATTTTGTTTTATGCAGAGCATTCAGGGCTCTTCTGGTGCAGGCCAACAAAGTGGCATGTGCAGGAAGAATGTGATTCCCCTGCTAGTGTCAGGAGTACAATGTGGCATGAATGAACCCTTTCCTAGCATGGTATTGTATAACCTCCAGTGAGCAGCTCATCCAGAAAAGAGGGCAGGTGCATGCCAGAGAGCACAGGGAGAACTAATCTCCTGCTAATAACATAGACAAAGAGAAGCAAAGTAAAAAAAAAAAAAAAAAAAAGTGATGTAATATAATGATTTCCAGTAACTCTGGAAAGAGGCCATCCCATCAGTCATTTTAGAAGAACAGATATAGAATCACAACAGTCATCGCAAAATTCCCAGCCCTTGTTATAAATTCAGTATTTACAAGGCACATGGTTCTCCCCCAGGCAATTCTCTCCCTAATGGTGAGAAATGTTTGGCATGTTGTGAAGGCTTTTGTTAAATGATTTTTGTTATTTGCAGATTGCTATTCATGAGTAGGCATTTTGGTATATCATTTGTCTATCTAACACTATAGTTTGTTCTTTACACATCTGTCTGGCTAGAGAATCTTGATAAATATGCCTGTCATTCATTTGCTATCCATGACAAAGCCAAAACTTCTTGAGTGGAAGAACAATGGAACTCCTGGAAGTCTGGAACAAAAAAGAAGATTGAGCCTTACATTAAAAACAAGACTGCTAATGTCATTTGGAAACAAGAAGGATAGAAACACAGAAACAATCACCTCCCCACTCTGCCTGTAACAATCAACCTAACTTACAGTCAATTCTGTAATCTCATCAGGTCAGAAATTATTGCCAAGTTATAGTACCAACCAAAAGTGGGATGGAGAAAAATTTCTGAAACGGTGCTCACCCCTGCAATGACCAGAATTTTATGGCATCTTCCAGATCTTAATTTTTATAAAATTTTTTTTACCTCTAAAGTTCTCAAAATATGGATATATAAGTGTTTTAGATCAGAAACATACCTCTAATTTTCAAAATGAATTAGCGAATAGATGCTTTGCATTCATTTATTTGTTTCTAATATTTTCCTTCAGCCTTTTTTTCTCCTTGTTTTTTCTTCTCCTCAGTGGAGTTATATAAATAAATCCAACTTGTATCAGTTTCATCTCCCTGGACTATCTTTTCAATCACTCAGCAAGTGTGACCCATCATCATTCAAGCCAATCTTTCCAAGTCTCTCATCATAAAGGAGTTCATCCATTCTCATGAACATTTTAATAATTCTGATGGGGTCGAACAAGAGATACAGGGAGAGAGAGACATGCAGTATGGACCAGGCAGCAGGAGAAAACAAAAAGCAGTGGAGAGGTGAGTAAAGGGAAAACTGTTTTCAAGCAGTGGGACAAAGTATTTACTGCTCAGTACTAATTCTAATGACCACCTTGTTCAGAAAGAAATATTTCTTTCTTCTCAAATGAATCCTTTCAGTAACTTGAGAGTAACTGACTGGAAGTGTTTTCCAAGACCCAAAACTCAGAGTGTTTCTGCACAGGATTTGCCTCTTCAGGGGTCAGGCTGACCTCATGAGAAGGAAGGACCATGATCTCACTGCTCTATGCTTCACAGTTGCTTGCATGAAGGTCACGAAATCTGTATTTACAAGAGTCACCTGCTTGTAAAACAGCTCACCCTGCAGTGCCCAGCGAGCACGTACTCTCTCAGGAGTGTCCTAAATACCTTCTGTCCTCCCAGTCACCACCAGTACCTCTTCTTCCCATTCCTTTGGTGTTTTCTGCTGCTTCTTTGGGCGCTCCTGCTCACAAGCACTCACGGTGTGTGAAGGCACCAGACACAACCTGCCTGCCCCCCCTGCAATGCCAGGAAAAAGCAGAGATTTGGGAAATTAATCTGTTTCCCGTGGCACCCATGGCCCAAAGAGACAGTCATTGAGGTACTGGGCAATGGGCATGAAATTGGGTGGAAAAACACAGAATATACCCAAAGCTGGTAAACCTTTTCTTCAGACATTTCCCAAAGAGTCATCTTTGCTCTTTCTTTTGAAATTATACATTTGCCTTTAAAGATTGCAAACCTCTGCTTATAACTGCTTAAATAATTCCTTATTTATTCTTATTCATAATTCCTCTTTATTTTGAAAGAGCCCAGCAGCATGTGCAAATGGTGGACATTTCCCCCAGTGAAAAAAATTGCCAGTATCAAGCCTTAAATTACATGTCACAAATCAGATACTGGGGTTTTTTTTGGGCATTACATTATTCAGGGGAAAGCACTTTCTCTAGTTAGTCTTAAGGTAATAAAGTCACTCGAGAAAAATAGATTCTATGGAACAGGGATTTTCTCATCCACCTCTGATGGCAGGAAAGGGAATGGAGCTCTTATGTTCTAAGAAATACCTGTCACACTTTCACATCATAATTATTATGGACTTGGAAGTCTCTGCAATAAAAACAAGGTATCAGATGCATCTATTTTAAGCTTTCTCTCAGAGGTGTATATTTATGCCTATTATGGATCCATGTTTTTCCCAAGATCAGTTACCTTTACATCAGCACTTACCAGCTGACAGGCAGCCTGACTCCAGGAATAGTGTGTCACTGCAAAATGATGCCTGTCCTCCATGTATGGCAACAAATCACAAAGTGAGGAGAAATTAATTTTCCATTTCACCTCTATTAATATTCCATTTTGATCCCGATAATCCTCTGTAAGTTACAGGGTGTGCAGTGAAGTTCAGCACAGTGCAATGTGTGGGAATTTTGTGTTGCCCAAATGTACCATTTATAACAGAAAAGACAGCTGGTATTTTGAATTTTTAAAATTTGCAGATTTTTTCTATTAGAAAAATTTCACATTATCATTAGTTTGTGCAAAGCACTGTAAGATAATAATTTAATATGAAAGAAATAAAAACATTTGATTTAAAACATGCTGTGATTGTTTTAGAATAAATATATGTCAACCATTCCATACCTTTTGTGACATAATCCAAAGCAAAGATAAAGGACAATGGCTAGTTACAAAGTCTATTTGCCCTTCAGCAAATAGACATAGACTTCAATTTTTTCTACACTTTAAATACATTTTTTTTAGGGAATTCACAAAAGCAGCCTGTAACTTAAAGGATTGACATTCTGTCCTTTCTTTTACAGTGTTATGAAAGACTGTGGGATGGCTCCAATCACTTTCAGTCCCTCTGGTGGACACCAGACTGGTATTCAGGTAACAAATTATTATCACTAGTGTCCAATAACCTTTTATTGGCTTGAACTTGTTTCTATAATCTTAAGCAAAACCTCAGAACACTTTTCAGTGTGAAACCCAGGATGCTGCTGCACTTGTGTCTACCAGGTCTTTTTGTGCTTTCCAGCCAGTCATCCCCAAACCTGTGCTGGTACATGGGGCTACTGCTCCCCAGGTATGGAACTGTCCCTTTTCATTTACTGAACCTATGTTAACTGTTTCTCTAACTTGTCAAGGTCCCTCTGAATAACAGCACAGCTATGTGGTGTACAGCCACACTTCCCAGTTCTGTATCAGCAGCATATTTGCTGTGTGTGCACTCTGTTCCAGCATCTAGAATGCTAATGAAGATGTTAAAAGAATGTGGGCATTTCTTTTGATCACTGGAACACAACATTGTTTTTCTGTTAAATTTTTTTTTCCAACAAGAAAGTTGAAACATGAATAATATCAATGCAAATCACCTGTGAGGGACCACAAAAGTGCACCAAACTGATTCAGAAATTTTAAGCTGTCAGATGCTGAGTTCAGGAAGGCAAAATGTCATGTTAGCTTTTGCTCTTATGTCAGGGACTGCATACCCTTGCATAATTCATGGTTTTCCTGCAGAAAGACTAATATCAACAATTAAAACTGGAGTTTTATCTGAAGGGTTTAAGGCTCAATCTGACACCTTGGGAAGGCAGTCTAGGTTGCAGGAAGGACAGCCTCCTCACTCCTTATTAGACAACCACTGAGATCCTTACAGAACTCTGTCCTCAAGAGAGGGTGCTTGATGACCAACCCCAGGCTCACACAAGCTGTATCCCTTTTCTTTCAGCTACAATTATAAATTGCTGCCTATCATGACTGGCAAGATATTCAAGAATAGCACTGCATTTCAGGGTAGGGACCTCAGCCCTGGAAGCAGACCAGCATGTACAAATCACAGCCCTTCACTCTCTGTCTGTGTAAGTATTTAAACTGTTCTTCAAACTTCCACGGAGCCAGATCATTTCAGCATTGTAACAGAAATATCTTTTTATGATTTGTTGTTGTTGTTTTTGATCCTAGTATGATAAAAATAATTCTGTAATGATCAATACCAATACCAATAGAATAACCATTGTTTTGTTGTGTTATTATTACAGAAATAACCACCAGAACAGGCTGGTTTCCTAGCACAGAAGTTCTTACCCCTGTGCAAGGTCCCACATTGATGGGGGACAAACCTTCATCCATTTTGTGGCAATGGAAATTGTAAATCTCAGCAACAATCCACAGGAAAATATCAAGTCCCTGCCATGTTCTCCTGTACACAGTTCCTCATTTGGCCATGAGATTCTCTGCCTTACCTGAGGGTCCCAGCCTGTTCCCTTGCACACACAGGGTGACATTATATTGTGTAGCAGTGTGACCCTAAATACTTTTTCTACTTTTTGCATAATCATAAGAGATAAGAATTAAAATGATCCATCTCGATTGAATAGTTAGGAAATGAAAGAACAGAAAAAAGACTTTGGAAAGAAGGAATAATACAATCTGATACATTTAAAGTATATGCATCAGAGTGCACTGGAGAAGGACTTCCTGCAAACACTGGTTGTTAACAACACAGCTCATGCTCTAGCAGGAGTATATGCTGGATCAGTGGCAGTCCATTAGTCATGACATGTTAGTAAATCACATAAGAAATTCAACACCATTTTTGACAGGAGCAGGTGCATCACACGAATGTCTCTAGACTTTGGCAAATTTTCAGGAGTGTGTAATTTCATTCCCCAAGAAGCAAAACAAAGCTGAGCATTTTCAGATTGTCCGGTAGCTTAGTTCTTCTTTAACAAGTTTCTTTTAACAAATTTATCTCTATAGTCACACAATTAACCACGCTAATAGTTTCAGGGTTGCATTGTGAAAATAACCAATGGAACAAAGCAGCTGGCAAAATACCAAAGCCATCATCATCTGACAATCCTTCTTCATTTCAATCTTGAACACAAAAGTGAGACATGAATTATGTAATGTGTTCTCATGCCAAAAAGGGACACATCCAATCAAGAAGATGCTGAGAACTAAAAGATTTTGGGCACAAGATGACACACTTACCAAGGAAAGATTATTCTCTGTCATCACCAGATTCTTACGCAGCACAGAACAGTGATTTATGAAGGGCATACAAACAGAAACTAGGGAAGGACAAAACAAAAAGGGCTGAGGACAATCATGACAAATTAAGCAGGAACAAACCATTCAGACCTGTAAAAAAATCTCCTGTAAAAGAGCAGGTGTGTGTGGAGAAAAGCCAAAGGGCTGTCTGCAGTGTGACAGTGGAGTCAGAGCTCTCAGAGAACGAGCATCTATAGGGGACAGCCTGCAGGAACACTTTTCTAATGTGGGATTTAATCCTAATATTACCTCCCACTTCTCCTGGGCTGGACCTAACTGCTTTCAGTTTAGCCTTGTTTTGGGGCAGTAAGTGGCTGAGCCATTCAGAAATGTGACCTTTCCAGAGTATGCCAGATTGCTGAGGATGTCAGGAAGCAGCTGGACACCACAGGAACTCAAACAGGAGTATTTACACCTACCTTAAACTCTGTGCATCATAGAGAAGGTAACTGGCCTTGCACTTCCCTGTTGATTTAGCTCCATGAACAGAATCTCTCATGTTAGACATTCCCTCAGACAGGCAGCCAGTGACCCATTTGGCTTATGTTAATAAGACAAGTCATCTGAGAGTGAACAGTAATACTCTAGTGAAAATAAATATACACTGTCCTTCCTGGTGCCTCCAAACCCCTCTGATGGGAATTTTACTATGCATTATAATTATATTATATTATCAAGCTTTCCACTTCTGACTCTTTGAGGAGGTATGACCAAATGTTTTAGAATGTCTAGAACAAGACAAAGAGCTTGAGAATTTAATGAAGCATTTGTTCTGGGGTTGTTTCTGTAACTCTGATTTAATGTTAAATAGAAAAGAGATCTCCTGGGCTACATTTGTATCTTTTATAAGCCAAATGCTCTTTAGATGTCTTTTCCATCTGCACTGATACCTTTGGGAATGGTTTCTAAACATGACTGAATTTGGTTTAGTAACTCAGATTTTATTCAACAAAACTTAAAAGTAGGATGCCTTGCCTTCCAGAATCCTATTTATTTTGAAAGATTCTTTTTGTTTCTTCTTTGACTGATGTACTTTCCAACAAGCTTCCTACCTGTCAACACTGACTGGTCCATTAGGGGGTTTAAGGCAGATGAGAAATGGTAGCATTTGTGGCTTACAAGCCAGGCAGAGTGTGGAGCTTTCCAAACATGCTTGTCATTCACTAAGTACCTGAGATACTGCCAAAATATCTTCAGTAGTTGTTATTGCATGTCTTCCAGTCCAGCTAAGACCAGATCAAAGGTTAGCTTTATATTAAGAAAACAAACGTAGAAGAGTGTCATAGGAACACTGAACCAGCAGGATGTCTTGCCCTCTTCTTTTATAAGCCTCAACCTTGCAAAAAGAGGGAAGGGTCAACCAGAAAGGAAGTAAGAAAAGCCCTTACTTTCTAATAAATACAACCCTGAGAGCAGGCACTCTCCTTGGGCTGCTCCAGGGTGTGCAGTGGAGGTGGCAGGGCCACTGACACTGTGCCTTGTCCTTTTGTTAGCCACACACTCCAAAGCACCTCCATGGTTCCCTTTCTGGGCAGAGTGCCCAATGCAGATGAAGCCCTGTGCCCTGAGCAGTGCCTACTTCTGCCAACTCAAGGTCTTTTCTTCCAGCATTGCTGACCCAAACATTTCCAGTTGTTCTTTGGCCCATCCCACCTGTTCTTTGATGTGTTTCAGCGGGGAACACATGAAATTGGCTGGCCCACTTGGGTGGATTTTAACCCCTCTGCTGTGATTTGCTCCTAACAGGTGGGCCAGGCAGTTTTAGGAGGTTTGAAGCACCCAGATTTCAATGAGATGGGCCGGGAAGTTTCAATAGTTGTAAATCCCCAGGTTTCAATGAGATGGGCCAGGCATTTTCAGCAGGTTTGAAGCCCCCATTTTTCAATGAGATGGGCCAGGCAGTTTCAGCAGTGGTAAACCCCCAGGTTTCAATGAGATGAAACCAGCAGTTTTAGCAGGTTTGAAGCACCCAGATTTCAATGAGACCTCATTGCTGGTGTGCAGAGGAGCAGGGCCCAGAGCAGGTGCCCTGGATGGCTCCAGGCTGCCATCCCCTGGCCCTGGGGCCTGGAGCAGAGGGCCGGCTCAGCTGCTGCCCCGGGAGCTCCCTGTGACTGACAGGAGCCTGATGGGGCCTGAAACTGAGAACAAATATGATGGATCTTAGCCCTGATATCAACAGCCTAAATGGTGAGACAAAAGGCATGCCACAGCCCGACTGATGTCTTTGTGTCCTGCACCAGCACCCACCCTGGGGCACTGACACAGCTGTCTGTGCTTTCTTCACGTCACCAGTGGACAGAGGTAAGTGTGGGACAGTGGGCCACTGCCCCATTGCACCCATGGTCTGTGAAGGCTCTCTCCACCTGTGGGGGAGAGGACAGGCAATTTCCTTGCAATCCCTGCCAGTGCTTACCCCTCATCTCGACTTCCACAAAGCTGGTGGGGGGCTCACCTTCCTGCCCAGTCCCCAACACTGCCTTGGGCCTCCAGCCTGAACCTGATCTCTCTGATGGGACTTATTGATACCATCTCATACACCTCCATGTATATATCCCAAGATTTCAGGTCCACACAAAGGTTTCAAACCTGTATGGCTATCTCCTGAGATAGGGAAGGGATTTCATACACATTTCCAATAAATGTTGCATCTTCTTACAGAAGTGAAGTTTGCCCTTTTCCTTCTATACAAGGTTATTTAGAAAACTTACCTTCCTAAGTCCCTGGGTGAAATTAGTCTCCTTGTTGGCCTTGTTTCTTCTAATTTTCTCTGCTACCACTGCTGAGAAACGAGCTGGTATTTTCACACAATTATGCAGAACATGTGGCAGAACTCCCTCCTGACAGGTGATTCTCAGCCCAGAGCCAAACTCTTCACAAATGACACTGCATTTTGTTTCCCTGTCTGTACAATTTTGTGATTTAACAGTATCAAATTTGGTGAATTATTTAATGGTGCTGTTGGCTGAGTGTCATGGAAGCCTTCTAATGTATTTTTTAAATGTATAATTCCTTGGCTTTAATGCTTAATGCTTGAAATAACTAACATGATTTCACTGAAAATATGTTCTTCCTGTTCAACACCACTCTGACTTACTCAACAGCAGTTTGACAAACAGAGGCAACAGCACAAACAATATTTCTCTTTTACTCTGCATCTTTCAGGATTACTTATGTGAGTATGAAGTTTTTTGCTCATTGGCTAAAGTATTATAGAAGGGATAATAATTTGGAAACTAGATGATGAAAAGCTGGACCACCACAAAGCTACACAAAGGTTTTCTAAGGCAAAGCTGTGTTCAAAGACTAATGGTGATACAGAGCTCACCCATAAAAACCAAAAACAAATGACAACTACTACTCATGATGTGGATGCAAATGAATCTACTCTTTATTCCCTACATATTGAGAAGGTTGCAAACATCAAATCTGGAAGACAGTGACAGAAGGTTCACATTTTGTGCAGCCCTCAGGTCACTTTGATGCCACAGGACATCCTCACTCTTCCTCTTCTATCTTCTTGCCGTGAATGTCCCGGCTCTTCACTCGGAGCTTGTTGACCTGTGACTCTGCAATGTCAGCCCGCTCCTCGGCTTCCTCCAGCTCATGCTGGATCTTGCGGAACTTGGAGAGGTTGACATTGGACAGCTCCTCCTGTGAGAGGAGAGGGAATCAGGGCTCAGGAACACAGGGCAGGGGTTTCACTCCTTCTGCAAGACAGCCTTGAGGGGCTGCAAATTTCCATCCCCCTCCCACCACTGCTCACACAGAGCTCTTCATCCTCCCCTTTTCAGGAGCTTGTCCT